GGCACGTGGCCAGGTCCTCTCTGTGCAAACCCTCTTCCAAGACTAAGACTCAATGGGAATATACGTTCTGATTGGTGACCACGCTCATCACTGATATGGGGAAGAGAGGGGAAAACAGCAATGAAGCAGTGAGCTAAGCCCTACAATGTTCATTAGACTTCTGTGAACCCAGGTCAAGACCTGGTTGGCCAGCAGTGTGGCAAGACCTGGGGACTCTTGGGCCCAGAGTCAGTAACATAGCCACAGAGGAGTAGAGTGGAGAGTGAAGCGTCCAGCTGATAAGAGAGGGCATATGCACAAGAACACCCACACTTGCAGATAATACCCATTTGACCTGGCTTCAATGACTGGCTGATCAGAGCTCCACCAGAAGAAGAAAGAAGAGGTAAAAAAAGAGTCATCTGATACAATTTGATGAACTTGACCTACATCTATGGATGCAGTAGCTCAAAATAGGGAACAAATCCTTACAGCAAGAATCATTCCCACCCCCTCCACACACAGAGTAGACAGGGATGGGCAACTTGGACACTAGCTACCCAAAATGCGGGGGTGGGGGTGGTGTGCTACAAAGGCAAGAGGTGACTGGCTTACAAGCTTTCAAGAGGGAACCTAGAGCTAGGGGGCATGGAGGAAAGCAGAATCTCCAATGAGTAGTATGCAATCTGCCTAGGCGGAGCTGATGAAATGAAACGCAGATGGGTCTCTTATGATACAATAGTGAATAATTGTTATCAGGACTGATTGTGAGTTTTTGAAATGTAAAGGTAGACGTTTTATAGCAAGGAAGGGAGTGATTAACTTTCCAGTCTAGGAGCAGAGGTCCCTAGGACCATCAACAGAGAAGAGCAGAGAGCGGGACCCTACCCAGAGAAGCACTGATGCCTGAGATGGAGGCAGAGATGATGACGTGGAGCGATGGAGCAGCTGGGGACTTTAGATCCAGAGAGGGAGAGCAACTGTATGCTGAAGACTGGGGTTGGTGTGGGGCGGGAGTGTGGGGGGCAGGCTTGCAGGGTATACCCTTTGGTAGCTTAATGATGCATGGAGGGGATTGTAACCAAGACAATGAAACGATATACGATAGAATGAATGTAAAACTAATGTTTTCCCATGTAAACTATCATATAATTCACAATAAAACATTAAAAAAAAGAAAGCATGCCAAGATGTTTACAATAAACTAAGTGGCTATTGTGAAAATAATAGTTATCTCCTTATTCTTTTTTGCTTTTGATATACTAAACATGTATATTTTATGAAAGGAAAAAAAGGACGGGAAGGAAGAAAAAAAGGAAGAAGCTGATAGAGCATAAAACCACTGACCATAAAAGATTATGATGAATGGACAAAATGTCTACTCTGACATCAAGGAGAAATCGGCATGTCTGATCTGATTCTTGGCTGTCATCAATGCCTGTCTCTTGGAATTTAGTAACTCTTCTCAGAAGCTGCTTACTTAATTTTTTATCGTAAGAATTACAACAGTATCTGCCTTACAAGACTGCTTCAAGGAATAAAAGAGACAACTCATTTTTAGTATTTAGCATACTACCTGATACTTGTAAAACAGGTATTCAATAAACATCAGCCTGTACTATAAAAACCACTTTTAGATGCATTAGTTTTTATTTCCTGGCAACATTTCTTTGTAAAAGAAAAAAAAAAAAAAAAAGGTTTTTGCATTTAATCAGCTTTTGGTTATCCTAAACATTAGTAATGATGCTAGATAAAATCTAATCAATCTATAGGAAATGATAAATGAATAAGATTGTATCAAAAAGCAATTCAACACATAGACTGACTATAAATTTCTGGAAAGTAGGACGCATGCTACAAGCAAATTAGCTATGTAACAAGCCTATCATTGTCTTTAATAAATAATAGATGACAAACAATTAGACTATGGGGGAAAGATGAAGTTTTCTGCTCCTGCAAAGATTTAAAAAGACTCGGAAATTCTATATAGGATCGCTATGAGTAGGAATCGACTTTAAGGCACTTAAAAACAACAATAAATAATCAGAAGTCAAAATAACACTGCAATCTAAACACACTGTCTTCCAGTGTAAAGGACTTGAAGTACTTACTGATGAGATCAAAGACTATATATAGCCTTCAATATGGATTTCATGTCCACATAAAGAAAACAAAAATCCTTACAATTGGCTCAATAGCTATATCATGATAAATGGAGCAAAGATTGAAGTTGTCCAGGATTTCATTTCACTTGCATCCAAAATCAACACCCATGGAACCAGCAATTAGGAAATCAAACCATGCATTGCACTGCGCAAATCTGCTGTCAAACATCTCTTTAAAGATCAGACTTACTGGTCCAGACAGACTAGTGGAACCCTTTGGTCACCCTTCAGGTCTAGAACTAAACTCACCCTGTAGAACAATTTTCAGTCAAGCAATAGATAGGTAACTAGGAGGGACAACAACACTAGTAAGGTATGCATACCATAGAATGTTCAACCATTCTAGCTTAAAAGTGCAGAATTTATCCAAGGACATAATTCAGAAAGGTTGGAGAAAAACGAGGAATGGAAACAAGAAATCACAGGGAGAAAGTGGGATAAGTGATGTTACATCAAGGGGATTACCATCACTGAGATGAAACAAAGTCTGATTTGAAAGTTGAATGTAAAACTGATGATCTGTTCTGTAAACCTTCATTCAAATTCACAATAATTAGTTTTTAAAAAGTCTCTTAAAATGTTAAAAAGCAAAGATGTTACTTGGAAGGCAAAGGTGCACCTAATACAAGCCATCTATATTTTTAATTGCCTCATATGCGTGTGGAAGCTGGACAATGAATAAGGGAAACAAGAATTGATGCTTTTGAATTATGGTACAGGTGAAGAATATTAAATATACTGTGGACTTCCAGAAGGACAAACAAATCTGTGTTGGAAGAAGTACAGCTAGAACGTTCCTTGGAATCAACAATGGGGAGACTCTGCCTCAGATACTTTGGCCATGTTATCAGGAAAGACCAGTTCCTGGAGAAGGACATCAAGGCTTGGTAAAGTAGAGAATTAGCTAAAAAGTGGAACCCCCCAATGAGATGGACTGACACAGTGGATGGAACATAGGGCTCAAACAGAGGAAGGACTATGAGGATGGCACACGATTGGGCGGAGTTTTATCTTGCTGTACAGAGAGTCACTATGAGATGCTATTCTTTGACATCTAACAACAAGATGTACACGCACAAGGATATACAAATTTTAAAAAACGTTCTTTTATGGATAAAAAATGTCCTTCAGGATCTGATTTTTTGAATAGAAGAAATGCAGATACTTTTTAAAAGAGATGAAACCATTAATTTCATTCTGATTATGAACTACAGAGTACTTACTAACTATATTTAAATCAGAACAGAATCCAGTGTCTCAAACTAGCTCTTGTTCTGACATTTTACATGAAGTGAGTACGAGTTCATTTTTGTGCAAAGCAATTTTGAACTCCATGTAGTTTTCTGAAAAAAATTTTCGTATACTCAATATTGATAGCATGTTTTATAACTATCACTAAAGCTGTAATTCATATGCTTATAAATCTGAGTCAATAAAAAACTTTGTTTCTATATAATGGCTATTTCTGTATATTAGAAGTCTGGGTGACAGTCACCACTATTATTGATAGCAGTAATACAACCGTTACTAAAAGACATTTTAGGTTGTTTTTAAGGACGCTTTCATAGAAAACGTAAGTATACATTAACTTACATGTTTACTAGGTGAGGTAGATGATTCCAGTTCTTGTGAAAAAACCATATCTTCAGTAAGTACACTGTGATCAGGACTGCCTGGCTGTTCTTGAGCTAAAGGCTCAGATGGTATATATTCCACAGCAGGGCTGCCCAGTTCTTCTGGAACAGAGCTTACACTATTTAGATGAGAGTAGGAAGGTATTGGAGATTCCTCTTCACTGGCTATTTCTAGAATGGGAGGATGAAAAGAAAAGAAAAGAAAACAAAAACAAACACAATATAATCTTAACCAATGGAAAAGTTCAAATATTACACTTTACATTTGTTTTAAACATATTACTGGTTGCTTTTAGATAACAGTTTTAATTATCATGTCACTTAACCAATTACATTTACTATAAAATCTTATTACTCTAAAAGATATTTGGCAGACACAAACTAGATGACATCTGTAACATATAATCAGCAATGATAATGATTGACAGTTAAGGTGCTTGGAAGGATGCACAGTAATCATAACGCTCATATATTTTTAGGAGCGGAAATTGGTCCAACGACTTTGGAAAGAAATACAGCATTACCTGGAAAAGAGTATTAATATTTAAGGGGACTTCACAAAATTTGTAAAAAAATGAAATTAAATAAATATACATAAATTTTATTTCTCAACATGAGCTCTTTTAAGGCCAAGACACATTTATAAGTGATGATACCAGCCATTTAGTCCATCCCTAAAGAATTGAGGGTTCTGGCATTTGAACTATGCCAACGCAGTTGTTTGGGGTTTTTTTTACATTATTAACCAAAGAAAAGTGGGTGCCATTTAAAGATTTGAGATTAAGAAACAAAAAAGTCAGAGGAGCCAAATCAGGACTGTAAGCTAGATACTTGATGATTTCTTATAGATACTCTTGGAAAATTGCCCTTATATGATGAAAGGCATGAGCAGCATTGTCATGTGGAGGACTTTCTGGTGAAGCTTTCTGGGCATTTGTCTCCTAAAGTTTTGGCTAACTTTCTCCAAAAACATTCACAATAAGCAGATGCTATCATTTTGGGGCCCTACAGAAAGTCAACAAGTAAAAACTTTCTTGTCGTAAGGTGCCATCATGTCAGCTCCACCTCATGATGACTCCATGTACAACAGAATGAAACACTGCCTGGACCTGGCTCCATCCTCATAGTGTACCTTGAGCATCCCAAAACACTGTTGCCATGGTCTTTGTTCTTGACCACTCTCCTTTTGCTTTGACTGGACAATTCCACCTCTTGGTAGCCATTGCTTTTTCTTTCTCTTCAGGATCATACAGGTAAAGATATATTTCATCTCCTCCTACAATTCTTCAGAGAAGACCTGGATCCCACTTGTTTAAAACTTCAATGAAAAGATCTGTTCTTCCCTCCATCCATAGAGTAGACAGGGATGGGCAAGTTGGACATTGGCTGCCCAAAATGGAGGGGGGCTACAAAGGCAAGAAGTGACTGCTTACAAGCTTTCAAGAGGGAGCCTAGATCCAGAGGGCACAGAGGAAGGTAGACTCCCCACTGAGTAGTAAGTATCCAATCTGTCTGGGAGGGGCTGATGAAAGGAGATGGGGATAGGTCTCTTGTGGCACAATAGTGAATAATTGTTATCAGTAAAGACTGTGAGGGTTGGAAATGTAAAGGTAGATGTTTTATAGCAAAAGGAAGGGAGTGGTTGACTTTGCAGTCTAGGAGCAGAGGTCCCTGGGACCATCAAGGGAGAAGAGTGGAGTGTGGGACTCTATCGATAGAAACAGTGACACCAGAGATGGAGGCAAAGACAATGACATGGAGAGATGGAGCGGCTAGGGACTCTAGACCCAGAGAGGGAGAGGGGCTGATGACTGGGGGGCAGTCTTGCAGGGTATATCCTTTGGTGGGTTGATGATGCAAGGAGGGGATTGTAACCAAGGCAATGTAACAATATTTGATAGGATGAATGTAAAGCTAATGTTCTCCCATGTAAACTATCACATAATTCACAATAAAACATTGAAAAAAAAGCTCTGCTCTTGTCTGCAACTGATCTGGATGCAACAGTTTTGGCACCCATCAAACAGAAAGTATTTTTAATTTTTCAGTCAGAATTGTGTAAGTTGAATTGATTATCTCTGGTATTGGCTATTGTTTCTGCTATTAACCATCGGTCTTCTCCAGTTAGAGCATGAAAAAGATTATTTCCCTTGAAAACTGATGTGGATAGTCTACTGTGGGGGGGCTTCATCTTCAACATTATCTTGTCCTTTCTTAAACAAATTATCCATTTGTAAACAGATGATTTATTTGGGGCATTGTCCCCATAAACTTTTCATAAAACCTCAATGATTTCATCATTCTTCCACCCATGCTTTAGCATAAATTTGATGTTTGCTCTTGCTTCAGTTTGAGCAAAATTCATGTTACTCACATTGACGCTCTTTTTTTTTTAAGTTTTTATTGTAAATAGAGTGATAGTTTACATGGGAGAACATCGGTTTTACACTCATCATTTCATTGCAATGATTACAATCTCCTGTGTGCGACATCATTCAACAGTATTTGCTTCTATTCCCTTTTGTGTGTGTGTGATGTACGCAAAAACTCAGGAATATATAATCATTTAAGCAACCAAGGGGTACATTCTACAAGCCAGCCTCCTGGTCAGAGAAAAAGAGGAAGACCCCCAACGAGATGGATCAGCCAGGTGGCAGCATCGATGGTATCAAGTGTGGCAGCGATAGTGAGGTTGGCCCAGGATTGGACATTGTTTCATTCTGCTGTGCACAGGGTCGCTATGAGTCGGTTCCGACTCGATGGCACCTAACACCAACAACACATTATCCTGGTGTGGCACTGTAGGATAATGCACTGGGCCACAAGGCAGGTTTGAATCACAAGGTTGATGGTTCAAATTCATCAGCTACACCTTGGGAACACTATACAGGGTTGCTATGCATCAGAACTGACTTGACGGCACTTAACAACAGCAGCAGTATGTATATTAGCAGGACACATGCACATGCTCACTGTTCTTTGCTGCTGCCAGCTATTGTCAAATCAATTCTGACTCAGGACAACCCCATATTTACAGAATAGAACTTCTACATAGGGTTTTCAAGTCTGGGACCTTTCATGAAACAGATAAACTGTGGTATATTTACAATGGAATGCTATATAGCAGTAAAAACAAATCATAGTTGTATGTATCAATATACCAAATAGGAAAAAAAGCAAGTCACAGAATAATACACATAATATAATTTCAAATGATAATACACACAAAACTAAATAAAATTGTTATGGTATCAAGTATAAATGTAGTAAAACTACTAAGTAGTAGCGTAGTGGTTACGAATCGGGCTGCGAACCTTAAGGTCAGCAGTTCGAAACTACCAGCTGCTCCGCGGGAGAAAGATGAGGCTTTCTACTCCCGTAAAGATTTACACCCTCGGAAACCCTATACAGGGTCACTATGGGTCGGAACCGACTCGACGGCACATAACAACAACAACAACAATATATATATACAGGATGATGTTATATTGATCTGTGGAGAAAGCATTAAGCGAGGTATACTCTAGGCCTTTATAAAGATCTTGGCAATATTCATAAGCAGAGGGCACCTGTTGCTGTTGGCTATCACTGAGTCAATTCCAACTCATGTGTTACAGAGTAGAACTGCCCCTTTTGGTTTTCTTGGTTGTGACCTTAACAACTGTAGATTGCCAATCCTTAGTTATTTTGGCATCACTGGGTGGGTTTGAACCACCAAGGTGCTACCTACGGACTTTTTACAGGCACCTAGAGTAATCATTTTTATTATTTAAACTTAATGTTATGTTTTATATACTCTTTAGTATAAATGAGGTACTTCATAGTAAAGAGATAAAATGAAAAATGTGGCTTCATTTCTGGCAAGATGATGGACTAGGCAAGCACCCTAACTGGACCCTCCAAAACAAAGATGTTAAGTGCTGTTGAGTTGGTGTCGACCCATAATGACCCTATACAGGGTTTCTGAGGGGCAGCTGGTGAGCTCGAACCTCCGATCTCGTGGATCAAACTGACTTTGCAGTTCAGCGCATTAACTACACTACTACACCAGAACTCCAAAACAAAGACAGGAGAGACCAAATGATACAGACACACACAAAAATCCTGGAACCCTGAAATTCAAAGGAAAGGTTAGAGAAGTGGACTGAGTGCTTGCTGGGAGGAGAAGCTGAGCAGGGACAGAGGGAGAGGGAGACTGACTAGCCAGACATGATGATACTATCTTGAACTTTCGTGAGCAGCTTTGACAACAGAAGGTAGCCTAGCAGAGCGGATTTACACATAGGTGACAAAAAGATATAAATCCTTTTCCCCAATGGCCCTTGGTGACCAGAGATGTGACCAGCTCCCAATCTCATTCACCACCAGTGCAGAACCATGTGGTTGGGAGCCATGCTAGTTAGACAGGGGCCAGCTCTGACACTTTGGTACTTAGATTCAGGCAGACTCGGCTTCTGACCTATAGAACCCACAGAGCCACCGGACCAGCATTTACCCAATTAACTCTGCCTGCAGCTGCTCTGTGGTCCTAACAGAAAGTGAAACCAAATTCATCAAGGGCCTCCACAAACTGCTTCCAGATTGAGTGTCCTGAACATGCTAACACTGAGGTCTACAGGAACTCTGTCTAGGGTCCGCAGGAACATCTCTCCCACACTCACTTCGTGAACTCCTTGGCTTGCAGGAACTCCCCAAAGTATTCTTCTCTCCAGGTCCAATAGCTGCACTGGTTTTATTTTTTGATTTGGGCTTTTCCTTCTGTTGTTTATTGCTTTTCTTTGTTTATTCTTTCTCCTCCTCCTCCTTTCCCATCCTTTGATCCACTTTTGTTTTCCCTTCTTTTTTTTTCATTCCCCCTAATTTTCCCTCTCTTTGATCTTTCTTTACTACTATTTCTCTCTGCTGTTTTCCTTTTCATCTTCCCTCTCTTTTTTTTTTTTCCTTTTATTTCTCTTATTTTTTCTTCAATAACTCCATTTACCTGTCCCTCTTTTCTCTAATTATTATATAGTTTTTTTCCGGTTATTTCCTGTTTTTATTCTCTCTCCTTTATTATTTTATCTTCTCATTTTTCATTGTTGGTTGGTTGATTGTTCTGTTTTGCTTCATGGAGTGTGGGAGGGGTTCTCCTATTTCTCATCCAATAGGACACATGATCTGTGCCCATACAG